ACACGCCACAACAGTCCTTTCTGAATCCCTAATGACCCCCCTGTATACATATACATATATATTATATACATGCATGCCCTATATTCCCTATGTAACATTACGTAACCCGGGTGCTTGACAGAAGCATAGCGTCGTCGTAGTCCACGTCCATGGTGAAAGCGAAGGCTGCTTACGCTTGGGGAGAGCGGGCCCAACCAGCTCGAGCCAAATGAAAAGTACTTGACAGTTCAGACTAGGCTTCAGGGTTTAGGGTCCGGTTTTGGGGTTTAGGGTTTAGGGTCTGGTTTAGGGTTTAGGGTCCGGTTTAAGGTTTTGGCTGGACCCCGAAAAGTAATGTAGAACGCTGGTCTTTTTAACTATGGTTAATTGTTTTGGGCTATGATTTTACCTGCCTTTGGGGTTGAGGTACTTGACAGTTCAGATTATGATTATGTAAGGATGATGCATGAACACTGTTGGTAGAAACTTGTCCTAGAGCCTTTTTAAATAGCCCGAGTGTCTTTAGCAGGTATGACTCATGACAGTGTTGAAAGCCTACTTTGCTTCCGGACCCACGTGTTGTGCATTCCAATTCCTAGGTTGCAGGTTCAGGGATTATGGTTTAAGGTTTTTAAGGGGTTAGGGTTTAGGGCCTGTAAGGTTTATGAGGTTAGGGAACCCTAAACCCTAAACCCACAGGGTCTGTAAGGTTTGTGAGGTTAGGGGTTTAGGGGTTTTTCAACCGATGGAATGCAGTTTCCACAGCCGGGATCTCGTTCACCTTGCTTAGTACAACGGGGAGAAGTGGTAGTTTACCATAATTGTGGGGTACCTTTTTGGGGGGTCCCAATAATAAGGATAATCGTATTTTGGGGTCTATATTCAAGGTCCCCTTATTTTGGGAAACTACCAAGTCATGAATGAACAGTTCAAATAAACTCGCTGCACCCTATTGCCCCCGCTCTTTTTCATGTTCTCAATATGAAAGGTAAGCAGGGGTCGGGTGGCAATCGTGGGCAAGTCTGCTAGCAGCTCTTTGCATGCACCTGTACAATAAAAAACACTACTAATAACTTGGAGGGTCAGGGGGACTTTGTAAGTAGCTCAATAACCCCTATAAGCCCTGTGATAACCCCAATAATCCCCATTATTAACCTACTTACTAAGTCCCTATGACCCTCCAAGAACAGCAGTAGTAATCGCAATAGCAAGGGTAGTAGTAGCGGGCTTGTTAGGCACCGCAAGGTTTGCCCCCCCCCCTTCTTTTGCCTTTACTTGTCTATCACCATTATGCGCCGACGCTGACGGTGCACAATATGAAGCTGGTCCATACCTTTGTTCCAGTATTCTCGCTCAAAATATCCGTGGTTGTTCAGTGGGAGGGTTCTGTGAGTGAGTACAATGGCCCTTAAGCGGGACTACCAAAACTGGAGCCCTAATTGCTCATTTTCGGAGCTCATGCAGTAACTACATGTTGAATGCATGTTGACTTCAGCCCCAAATCCTGCTGTCCAAACTCTGATTGCCATATGCGGGTAAATGGGAGGTGCCTGCTCATGCTCACGTTCCTCAAAAATAAAAACGCAAGAAGCGCATTACATGGATGTAAGGTACCCGTGACATCTTCGAGGATATGCTCATATCCCGATTGTCTCAGACCCCATCCCTAAATCGTGCCCTGATCCTCATCTAGAAAGTGCAAAACATCTGGGTGTAGTGCTTCTCCAATGATATCCGATAGCAACCCTCAAGGAGGGACATGTATCATCAAGTGAGAGCATCATATGACCTAGAGTAGTGATCTCCCACATAATTTGATAAACATGGGCTCCATACTAGGGACTGTATTGAGGACTATACTAAACTACCAACGGCGCTAGTATGTCCACTCTTAAGGGTCCCTTGGTGTATCTCTGCGGGTTCCCAAAACTAACCCTAAACCCTAAACCAATTTGAGAAGCTCACCTCTGAGAGCTTGGCTGGCGCGCGAGGTCGGCACGGGCCGCGGCCTAATAAAACGTCTGCTGGCTTCAGGATTGGGGGGTTCAGGCCTTTAGGTATTAAGGTATAGGTAACCTCAAGGATCCAAATAGCCCAATATAGGTAGGTTCTAGACTTTAGGGCCCAACGTAGGAATTATTTGTATACTTGGATCCCTTCACAGAGGCCCCAGGGGAGTCCATATATCATGTATCTTTTATCCCTGTAAGCCCTCCCTTTTTGCTACCCCAACCCCCGCAAACCTCAAACCCTCAAAAGCCCTAAACCCTCAAAAGGCTTAACCCAAAACCCTAAATCTTCAAACGTCCTAAACCGTTTCAAGCTCGGGTTGATAATCTGGGCTTTAAAATAGAGACTCTTAGTGGGACTCGGGTTTAGGGTCTAGGGTTTCGGGATGGCTTGTGGTCACCAATATGGTGGCTGTCTAGGTATTTGTTCTCCCAAAACTAAGGGCCCCGTTAAAGGGATTGTAAACGATGTATGGAGGTTGTATAGGTGTATACAAGGGTTATATAGGGCTTAGGGTCTTAGGGTTTCCGAAGTAAGGGGCACTTTGTTTGGGATTCCTTCAAGGATTATGATAGTTCAGGGTCTATATTGTGGTCCGAGCCCCTCCATTTTGGGAAACTAACATATCAGGGTAGTATGTCGGAATGTGTAATGTAGAAGATTACCGGACATAATAACCAACAACCATCTTGCAGAAGTTATGAGGTCTATTTGAGATAACCTCTGCAGTGTTCATTTATACAATGAATCCAACACCGCTACTTGAGTAATTCCCGAAGTATGTGCATATATATATATGCATATATACATATATACATATATATATACATATACCTCGTTTCCGTTTCCTTCTTCTTTCTCGTTTCATTCCCCTTTTTGTCCTGGCCATTTTGCTGAAAAAAAACCCTAAACCCTAAAACCTAAACCCAGAAACCTAAACCCCAAACCTGTAAAACCCTAAAACCCTTAACCCTAAACCCTGAAACCTGAACCCTGGGCTTTGAACCCTAAAACCTAAACCCTAAAACCCTGAACCAAGTGGACTAGACCTTCACTTAAAGGTCTCTCCGAAAAGCCCTCAAGCTGATACGCAGTCAGTTTAGGGTTTGGGGTTTAGGGTTTAGAATTTAGGGTTTAGAGTTCAGGTTTAGAGTTTAGGGTCTAGGCTTCAGGGTTTTAGGCTCGAGGGAGCTGAGGACTCGTCGGGTTTAGGGGTTTGGGCGGACGTTACAAATCTAAACTGACAAGCCCTGGGAATATCGGGGCGCTAGTATCATAAAGTGATGCAGTTTAGTATCAACATTCTCCTCGTGCCCTCGTACATAATTAGACCAGGGTTTTGAGGCTATGAGCTACAGGCATGGGTTCCTTATTAGGGACTGTACTAAGGACCATGCTGAACTACTCTCTTCCGGCATGGGTTCCTTATTAGTTAGGGACTGTATAAAAGATCATGCTAAACTACAAGAGAGAACCCCCATGTCCACTTGACAGCAGCTCATATGCATGATAGGCTCTAAGGATAATCCAAACCTGAAAAGCCTAAAAGCCACAACCTGGACGCTACCTTTTCGGCTTCGCGCGTGGCCGCTCGCCAAGGTCACATCTGAACGAACCCTGAGAGTCCAAAGCAGCCATACTACTCAAGTACGTCCAGTTTAGGGCGATTTGTTCAAAACCCACTTCTGTGCTGGATAGAACTGTTTTGGGGCCATGCATGTATCTTCCGTAAAACTTGTCGTGCAAGTGAAGTCACTGGTGCTCGGGCCTTTGGACCCAGAGGGGAGGACATGGTCTTAAAAGTTCACGTCATGCTTCATGATGATCGACTGCATCTGCGGCGTTCTCGAGAAGGAGATGGCCTCTAGGCCGGCCATGTTACGAACATTGACCTGCAGCTGAAAAGGGCTTAGCTGCAACTGTAAACGCGTAATCACCTACCTCATGGCAAATGGTTAATAACAGTAACTAAAAACAGTAGCTTATTGGGGGTACAGGATTGGGGGGTACAGGTAGCGCTCAGGGCCGATTGCCAACAAGAATTAAAGGACTAGCTGAAACCTGAAGCCGACATCTTTAACCCTCAGCCCTGCACGTTTTGGTGTCGTATTCAAGAATTTCCAAACATCCTTTCTTCTTCATCTGAGCCACACTCCATATTACCTAGATAATCCATGGACATGGGCCACAAGAGGGACCCCCATGTCCACTGTTAAGGGTCCCTGAATGAGGCTAATATTGGCAGCAAGTCACACATCCCCTAAGCCCTGAACCCCAAGCTCTAAACCTTAAACAGTAGTTTTTTCCGTATTCGATTGTACCATGCCAAGCATTCGGCAGGTTTCAAGTGTAGAGCTGTTGTGACTGTGCTAACCCTGAAGGTCCAAGTACCAAAGAATCAGGCACTTGGGTTTCGGCTAATAGAAATTGTAGTACAGCGAGGTACGCATATGATTGCCAAGTACTTGGACCCTTAGGATAAGATAACCTTCCAAGCGCTCTTGCGACTTCGACTCTGTGCCTCGATGTTGTTCAAGTGTAGGATTTGATTGGAAGGGGGCCAATCCCTGAAGAAGCATGCTAAGAACCAGAAAGCAGGAAAAAAACACACACACAAAAAAAAAAACACACACACCAAAAAAAAAATCCGAGACTCCTGG